AACCAAATATGTGAACAACCGGTTCTCTGTGTGGATGCCACTTCTGGAAGTCCGTTCTGGGCCTGGGCAACAAAAAATTAGCTACCGGTTCTGCTGAACTGGTGTGAACCGACTGAATCTTACCACTGAATGTAACCCCCAACTCAATCCTCTAGCCTGGAACAGAGATATTCTGCAAACAACAATCAGTTTCCCTGTCTCCAAAAAGGATATCAACTTTCACAAAGCCTTGTATCTTCATAAACACATAAAGGTTTAAAAAAAATCTGCTTCTTTGGGATCAAAAGCTAAGCATAGCCAGCCCTGATTTTTACTAGGAAGTTAAAAAAAAAACAACCCCCTAAATTATAATAATTCTGGCAATCTAGAAGGTGGTGTTCATGCAATAACAGCAGCTGAGTCTGATTCCAGAGCATCTTTAAATCGCAAGGACGTTCTACACGTCAACAAACTAAAGGAGCACATCGAAAGCACCAGAACAATTACGCTGGCATAACCCAAGCCATTAATGTTCAAAATTAAGTGTAAGAAAAGCTGATCTCATCCATCACAAAAGAGAGGCAGCTTGCCGGAAGGCCGAGAGGTCCTATCGAAACATCGTATTTCTGAATTCAATATCAGTCCCAAAGAAATAGGCATTCAAGTCGCAGGACAGACAAAGAGTTATTTACCAAAATCACTGAGACGCATCGGAGGAGAGTTGCCTTTCTCTGTGTACATGTCCAATTTGCAAAGAGAAGGGAGGTTGAAACTGACTGAATAAATTACCTGTTGTTAATTAATTATTCACCCAGCTCCCGCCGTTGTCTCTGGATCACTGAACTATAATTTGTAGCTTAATCATGGATGGCACTAATATATGTAAATTCGGTAACCGTAAACCATTCAGCTTGGGCAACGAAGGGTGGAGAACGCTTTGAATTAGCAGAGAATCTGGAGGAAGCTTGAGTGGGCAAAGTGCGCCGTTTGATTTGCGCACAACGTAATTTGGCGTCTCTTGCAGGAAACTATTAGCTTGCAGTGCCACCAAAGTGAAATTGATATTTATTTGCAGGCCACCCACCAGATTGCCAGCTCTTGCAGTGGGTGGGGGCAGCGAATCGGGTGCCCGTCTTTCCTTGAGATTCGCCGAGAGAGAAATGCAAAAACCACTTCGCACAAAAGAGAGGAAACGTATTGAAACATATCACACGCGCAGAGGTTTGCAAAAAATCTATAAATGATTCTGTACAGGTAGTCCTCGACTTATGACCGCAATGGAGCTCAAAAAACTCTGTTGCTAAGCGAGGCAGTTGCTAAGGGAGTTTTGCCCCCATTTTACGAGATTCCTTGCCATGTGGGGGACTCGGCAACCCGTCATAAATATGAGTCGGTTGCCAAGTCTCTGAATTTTGATCGTGTGATCCTGGGAACGCTGCAACGGTCGTAAGTGTGAAAAAGGGTCACAAGTCACTATTTTCAGTGCCATTGTAATGTCAAACGGTCACTAAACAAACTGTAGCATCCCCCCAGTCACGTGGATCAAAATGCAGAGGCTTGGCAACTGACTCATATTTATGACCATTGCACCGTCTGGGGGGTCAGGTGACTGCCACTTGTGATCTGCTCAAATGGCTTCTGACAAGCAATGACAAGGGAAAAGCCAGATTCGCTTAACGACCCCATGATTCACTTAACAACTGCAAGGATTAACAACCACAGCCCCCCCCCAAAAAAGGTTGTGAAATTGGGCACTTTACAACCGCCTTGCTTAACAGTGGGAATTCTGCCCCCAAGGACCAACTGCATTTTTTGCAGGGATGTGATGTTCAGATTTCCCATTGGCAGAATCCTCCTCCTCCTCCTCCTCCTCCACCACCTCCTCCTCCTCCTCCTCTCCCCCCCCCACTCCCTTCTAGCACTGATGATGTTACTTAGTTGGGTAATGAAACATCTGCAAGAAAACAACCAAGCTCAGAGAGCATCAAGAATAATCCCATAGTCCTCCTCCTCCTCCTCCTCCTCCTCCTCCTCCTTCCCTCCATAATAAACCCCACTATAGAAGTATAACATTGAATTTCACAGGTACAACATATGGTGCACCTAGAACTTATTAAATTGTTGAGTTAGGTCAAATCCAGCAATGGGAACAATCACTCTTATCTCTGCTTTTCTCCAGTCTGTTCCCCTCCTTTTGTCTTCTCTTCCTCCTTCCTTCCTTCCTTCCTTCCTTCCTTCCTTCCTTCCTTCCTTCCTTTCTCTCTTCTCCTCCTCTCCTCTCCTCCTCTCCTCTCCTCCTCCTCCTCCTCCTCCTCCTCCTCCTCTTCTCATTAAAAAGAAATAGCCTATTATCCTAATCTGCGTGCTCTCAATTTTGATAGTCAACTGTGGCTGGAAAAAGAAAAATAATGTACAACCCTGACCTTTCCCAATCCTGCCCGTTTGGATTGGATTGGCCGCTCCTTCTGCCATTCTTCCCCATTTAGCAAAGCGGTAAACAAGGACGGGGACAAGGAAACTGGATGACATTGTCTAGCAAATTGCAGAATGTTGAAAAGGTCAAAAATTGCAGAATGAGACTCTCCTGTAATTTACAGCTGCTTGGAGCTGTTCCTATTCTAATAACTCATTTGCGGGACAAGCCCAGCAACAGAACATTAAAGTCAACGTGTGAATCCATGTCCAAAGCTGGATTTTATATTCAGATTTATATTTTATTTTATTTTTTCCTAACGAAGGAGGAGAAGGGATTGCCAATTTACCCTGCGTTTAATTTCAATTTCTCCCTCTGGTAAACATAAAAGCAAAGCTGCTGGTTGTTGTTTTTTTCTTTGCTCCCCAGCTGTGGATCCAATAAATCCTATCAAAATTCAGAACTGGCAAATTCTCAAAATGCAGCCTAAAGCATGAAAAGGCTTCCTGACTAATATCGTCTCCTGTTTTTTGAGTATTTGGAGAGTGAACTTCTAAGTCTTCCAAGGCACTTGGGAAAGGAAAAATGAAAAATCTGTTGCATGGCTCAGTTTGAAAGTTTTTCATCCCAGTTTTGGTTTTCTTCCACACCCCTTGTAATTAGATTAACCATCAAGAGCTTCTGATTGTTCCCCGAGGCTTAGACATATTGTCTTGCTTATCATCATGGACGGGTGTGTGTGTGTGTGTGTGTGAGAGAGAGAGAGAGAGAGAGAGAGAGAGAGATTTTACTAGAGCCACAAATCCAGACAGTGCTCAAAATTGCCACAGCTAAACGAACAGGGGAGAAAAGCAAATTTTTCAGCACAGTCTCTCATAAAGGTCGAGTCTTGAATCCAAAAAAAGATTCAATCTGCCAATCCAGATTGCATCCTAAGTTTGTATGAGGCTGAAACCCGTTTATGATTCTTTATCTTCTTGGGTTTACATTATTTTCAATCTTATCAAAACACTGGAAAATTGATATAATTTATCAGAGGGGTCTTCTGCCATCTCCTAAGTGCTCGAAAGTTAAAAACAAGTAGAAAAATAAGATGGGTTTTTTAAACTCTTGTCTCTGTCTAATAGGATTGTTTTCATCTTTGTTATCTTGTAAAAACTAAAAGGTGATTGTGCTTCTTAGCATCCGAGCTCAAAGCTTGAAATTAGATTATAGATGTGCACGGATTTATAGAAGAGCTTAACTGTATATTTATTCTACATATATATCATGAGGCAGTTCAGTTGTGATCTATGGAAACCGATTTTGTTCACAGCAAAATGGGACTTATTAAAATACTGTTAAACACAAGCTGGAAATATGGGTGAAGAGCAGAGTAAGGTATCTTGTATTTAAATACCTTCAAAAAACATAGAAGTGGGTCCTAAGAGATATAACTTTTAGTGACCTCCAAACAACAACTTGGTCTCAACAATTAAGAAGTAAGAGACATAAGACTCCCTTAAACTAATCTGTTTAATGTATACTTAAAACCATTTCATTGAAGGACTATCACTGATAGGAGAAAAAATTGTTTTATTCAGTTGCAGGCATCTGTGCTACATGAACTGAAAAATTGTTCATTTGGAATTCAAGCTTTTTTTAAAAAAAGAATTCAGTCTGTGCTAATATTTGCAAACGTGTATTAGGGAAATGCCTGAATGCAGATGGGCAGATTCGTGAAAACAATAATAAAAAAATGTGTTCTTAATACTACTCGTTTACAAAAACGACCTGTAAGCAAAACTGAAAAAGGTGTTGTGTTTGTTATCTAGAGTGCAGCCTGATCACATATGACAGAATCTGCAAAAACGAGAAACTGAAAGCAAATAATAAAAAAATCTACTATTGTATCATCATTCCTGGCAGCAACACCTTCCTTAAGTGGTACGTAAAGAAAGAGAAATTCCATCCCAATTGTATCATGTGGAACGACTCAGTTTTTATTACAGGTGGTCCTCGCCTTACAACATTTGTTTAGTGACCATTTGAAGTTACAACGGCACTGAAAACAGTAACTTAGGACCATTTTTCACTCTTATGACCGCTGCAGCGTGATCGAAATTCAGACGTATTTATGACAATCCCAGGGTCACGTGACCCCCCCCTTCTGCGACCTTCTGGCAAGCAAAGCCAATGGGGAAGCCAGCTTCACTTTACAACCGTGTTACTAACTTAACAACGGCAGTGATTTAACCTGCTGTGGCAAGAAAGGTCGTAAGATGAGGCCAAACTCATTTAACAACCGTCCCGCTTAGCAACAGAAAATTGTGGTCGTAAATTAAGGACTACCTGTATAGGAGTGGGCAGAAAGATTTCTGTTTCCTACATACTGTGCATAACATTATAAATTCAGTCCTATTCTCCCCTAGTACGCTGAATTTATCAACATTTCTCCCATGTGCGGAGAAAAAGCAGCTGTTTCAAGAGTGGATGTGCTGATCTTCGGATCCATCCATTATATCCTTGGGTGAAGATCAGATAATTAGCCCCATTCTCCAATCCGACGCAAACGTCCTCCTTGAAACTCTTGTTGGAGTAACTCCTTCCCCCCATTGCGAATGAGAAAGTGAAATATTGATTTACCTACAGTAATATCAGCCACACTCTGCTCTGGCTTCATTTCGATTCCATCTTCTAAGAAAGGAACTTACCCAACTGGACTTCAAGAAGACCCGTCTGGTTCTCTACTGGATACAAAGGCTGAGGGGGTCTGTTGGTGACTAAAGCTGGAAGGAAAAGGGGAAGAGAAAAGAGGGGGAAATTAAAAGAATAATCTGGATCCGGAGACAACAAGTATTGTGCAAAAGCTTGGATGTGCAGACCTGGATTTTTTTTTTAAAACACCCATTTTTTTAAGATGACCATCGGCAGCATTCTGTTAGCTTTGGAATTATATTGATTAAGAACTCCCTTTATGACCTTGTAATCCCTCAATTCAGGGTAGAGTTGAGGTGACTGAATGGAGCTGAGCGTTTACTGACCAGACGACCTTCCTGATGCCTACACGGAGTTCACAGCATTTTTTTTTTTTTTTTTTTTTTTTGCGCCCTGAGAGAAAAACCTCTGTCACCACCTGGGATCGAACCCTCGACCTTCCAAGTGGGAAGCGAGCGTCTTCACCACTAGGCCCCCACGCCACTCCTTAGGAATTGTATTGATGATGGCACCAAAAGCAACAACCAGAATCATATAATCCCATTTTATGCAAGTGGATCCTCAACACAGCTAACAATGATGAAATAAATCAGTTCAACTGAAAAAAAAAAATAAAAACTCTATAAGAGATAGAGAGAGAGAGAGGGAATCCCAAAGGTGCTTTTTCCAAAAGGCAACTGGACTTTCCAAGAAAGGAAGTCCAGTTGCCTAGTGGAAAAAGCACCTTTGGGACAATCATAACCTGGACGATGGAAAATTTTCATAGACGAGAGGGAGAAAGAAAGAGAAAGAGAAAGAGAAAGAGAGAAAGAGAAACAGAAAGAGAAACAGAAAGAGAGAGAGAAACAGAAAGAGAGAAAGAGAAAGAGAGAGAGAGAAAGAGAGAAAAAGAGAAACAGAAAGAGAAAGAAAGAATGAGAAAGGGAAAGAGAAAGAGAGAGAGAAACAGAAAGAGAAACAGAAAGAGAGAGAGAGAGAGAAAGAGAAAGAGAAACAGAAAGAGAAAGAGAAAGAAAGAGAATGAGAAAGAGAAAGGGAAAGAGAAAGAAAGAGAGAAAGAGAAATAGAAACAGGAAGAGAAAGAGAAACAGAAAAAGAAAAAGAGATAAAGAAACACAGAGAAAGAGAGAGAGAAAGAGAAACAAACAGAAAGAGAAAGAAAAAGAAAGAGAAAGAGAGAAAGAAAGAGAAAGAGAAAAACAGAAAGAGAGAGAGAGAAAGAAAGAAAGAAAAAGAGAAAGAAAGAAAGAGAAAGAGAAAACTTTTCTCAGCTGCATCTTGTAGGTACCTTCTAAGCCTCTCATTGCTTATATGCACCATTTTATTCAAGCTATACGGGGGATTCTCTTTAGCAGCGCGTGGCAGCCGCACACACCTCTTCTGTCCAAAGATGGAACAACTGATGCCAATGAAACATCAGGGCCACTGGGGCAACTAAATTACTTTTGGATTAGCTAGGAATAGAAAGTTGCTGGCAGGTGAGAAAAAAAAAATAATCAATGCCTTTCACTAATGCACTTGGAATGCCATTAGTGGGAACAGGAAAGCCTGCCAATCATTGCGTTATCTCTACCGAGAATTTTCCAAAGCGGCCGGCTGGGTTCGTACACAAGTCTTAAAGTCTAAATTCGCTTAAATAGACACCGATGATGGAAAGTGTAGAGATCAATTGCAAAGGATTCGCTGGCGTGATTTAAAATCGGCCTGGCTCAGACCGAGAGCTCAGGCCGTGCGGAACTCATGAAGAGCAAAAATGCTCCTCGTTGGCTGAAAATTATTATTTTCAACAGTTTGTGGAGGGTATGAGAAAGAGACCCGCTCTCCCCAGTCCAAGTCCCATGGGACCCTCCTGGAGAATGTACAATGAAAACTCGGTACAGTATCCTTGCATCTCATCCCTAACTAGGTGTCAGAAATCTTCCACCCACGAGATTTGTGCTACAATTCCCTTCCCCTTGGAAAGAATATTTGGCAAACAAATTCTTTTTCCCTTCCGAGGACAAGCAGAACACAAATATTTCCATTTTGCTTCAGCTGATTTCCTTAATAAGAAGACGAAAAGGAAATAAGGCACGCCTTTTCTCCAACAGCAAAATTCATATGCAATTATCAGGATATCCAAGTGCATTTTAGATATTCAGAGTGATCCGATTCATAATGGATGTTTGAAATAGGGAACCTTTCTGCAGTTGACTGGAGAGAGAGAGCGAGAGAGGTAAAACAGCCTGACAGGTAAATACAAATATGAAACCAGGAAGAACACAGCCCTGAGAGTACATATTACTAAACACTGTAAATTCAGGATTTGAGCAAAATCTCCTTGCAATATGTCTTCTCCTGTATTTATCTTGATTTCTTCCAGGATTTTCAATTACAGTTGAGACAAAATGCTTTCAGGATTCAGGTGGTCAACTACCCTGAGATGGGGAGCAGATAGCCAAGGCTGAAATAATAACTTCAAGAAACCGCTTCCCATTAAAAGCTGAGGAATTTCCAATACGATGGTCAGTAATGGAAAGAAGTAGACTTTCCATTCCCCAGAACTACGGGTTTTTTTTGATGTCCTCTACCCTTGATGAGGCTCGGTAGGCTTTGTAATACTTTTAACTTGTAATGGTTATAAGGTACAATCGATAGCTGAAGGACTGCATTTGTCCAATTCTTTCTCTCAAAAAAGATTGATGTGCAATTTCTATTAAGCAGTTCAATTTTCAAACCGAACAGTTCAAATTCATCCAAGGAAGTAACTATATATCCAACCACCCCAATCCCAGGTTGGCACCGGTTTGCTTAACACTCAACCCCAAGTTTGCTATTACCATGAGTGATGACCATGATGGATCCCATTGCAGGCCTCGCTGGAGAATTTCTTGAGTGGAAGTTGCATTTTTTCCAGTTTGCAACCCAAAGAATTTTGCATTCTGGAGCACTTAGCTCAGCAGGAAGATCAGTCTGGGAAGACACATTTCTCTGAAAGACAGCTTGCTTGCCACAACTCATTCTCTGAAATGTGTTGGATGAGCACACATTCAGCTGAAGAGAGATGAAAGCAGGGATGTCCAGCCTTGGCAACTGGGGAATTCTGGGAGTTGTAGTCCATAAGTCTTAAAATTGCCAAGACTGAACTTCCCTGCATTAAAGTGTCTGACAGTATTAGAAATTCTGTTTATATAGAGCAACACAGATCAAACAAAGAGCACCATCACCATGTGCTTTACTGCTGAACTGTTTAATTGTAACAGGAAATTGGAAACTCTTCTTTAGGACAAAAGAACATAGACTATAGACTATAGATCCAAACTTGTAAACATTGCCATCTATTTGTAGTTGTTGCACAAAAATACATCCCAACAATAAATTCTAACAGGTATGTATGCCTGTAATTAGAACCCATAGCAATAGGCAAGAATTCCATCAGATACTCCTCTGGATCTCATTTTCAGATTGGCAGGTGGTTCTCAATTTATAACCATCCATTTAGTAACCATTTGAAGTTACAATGGCCCTAAAAAAAGTAACTTATGCACTTATGGCTGTTGCAGCATCCTCAGGGCCATGTGAGGTGCTTGGCAACTAGCCTATATTTATGATAGTTGCAGCATCCCAGAGTCACATGATCACCAATTTCTAACCTTCCCAACTGGCTTCTGAGGTGCTAAAGCTAATGAGAGAATCTGGATTTGCTTAACAACGGTGTGTGATTCACTTAACAAACCGGTTAAGCATAATGAGACTTGGCTCATAGGTCATATGCCACAAAATAACTAACCAAGACTCATTTTAGCTACGCTGAGTGTGTTTTATTAACACAGCTGCTTCCTCTTTAACTAAGCCAGTTAAACATAATGAGACTTGGCTAATTGCTCATGAAAGTAGCCATGTTTCTTTCTCCCATTCATGGCAAGAGATGATGTTTCCTTCAATCATTTATCTGAATAACTCTCAGGAAGATAAAATGCTATCCAGAGAGGAACAATGCAAACCAGCTAGATGAACTCCGCTTAAAAGCTGACAGTGAGTTAGTCAGCTTAAAGTGGCTCCATCGTGAGCGAGAAATAAATATAAGTATATTGTAGCATTGTTGCATATTTGAGTGATTTGATAATAATTTGGCATTCCGGAGATTGAGCTGCCTCCTCTGCACTAGCACAGCAATATCAACCTGACAAAATGATTACGCCCGGCATCTGACATTTGACAAAGCCCAAATAAAGTCGCTGTAACACAGCCCTGTCAGAGGATAAATGTGTTCGGCTTTGAAAATAAACATCTCACACTCTTTTTCTATAAAATGCTTCGGCATTCAGCTGGGAGCGAGGGAGACCTCATTATCCCGTGACAAAGTTTGGTTTCATTTGAAATTATTTATTCAAGGAGCAAATCCATCATTTGTCTGCAACAACTCGGGAACGGAAACATTCCCGGTGTTTGGATTCACAGCTTGGGCACATCCTGCTAAAGTGGCATCAAATGTCCAGGGCTGTTCCTTTGCCTTGGGGGGAGCAGTTGGTGGGGGCCCCGACTTGTTTTCTTGAAGATGTTTCATGACCCAAGTAGGTCACATCATCAGTGCTAGAAGAGAGCGGGGTTTGTGGAGTGGAGGAAAAGAGATGGAGGAGGAGAACTGTGGGGTCCTTGTAGCTTTCTGAGCTTGGTGATTTTCTTGCAGATGTTTCATTACCCAACATTATACATCAGTGCACTGATGATGTTACCTAATTGGATCATGAAACGTCTGCAAGAAAACCACCCGTCTCAGAGAGCACCAAGGACTCTCCCATCCTTTTCTCCTCCTCTTCCTCTGTAGCACTGGTGATGCTATGTGGCTGGGCCATGAAATGTCTACAAGAAAGCCACCAAGCTCAGAGAGCACAAAGGACCCCTCATTGCAACCCTGAGCTACAATCCCATATTCTTATGTAACTAGTCGTAGATCCCTTGTACCAATTTGCTTCCACTTCCCCTTATTCCCTAAAGGATGGGAAGTGAACTTCAGAAAAATCAACGCAATTAGGAGGTTCAGGGCTTCAAAACCGAGACCCTTTACACACACACCCCTGGATCTTTGCCA